AAAAAGTATTATGGCCAATAAAAAGAATTTCGAATTGTGATATCTGCAAGTCCTTATTTAAAACCTTTAAATTTAATATTATCATTATACAAGAGTTATTTTTACAAATTGATACAAATATCGAACATAAGTTTGTTGACATAAACATTATTTCCATAATACAAATAAATATATCTTTGTTAAAGAATACTCATAATTTATTTAATATATTCATTTAAACATGTTTTTTGTCTGGATGATATTGAATACTAACTTTTTCTATATAACTTCTTATCGAGACATTGTGAGATAATAAAACAGACAATTAATTAAAAGCGTACTCACAATTTCAATGCTATACTGTTTCCCAAATTATGAAAATACTAAAGAATATTTAAAAAAAAATAAAAAGCCAATTAAACAATGTGTTAATATCTACAGAAGAACATCGTACCTACTTCTTTTTTGGAAAGGAAAAGTAGTCAAAAATTGTGAAAATAACAACATATTTTTATTTCACAAAAATAATAGGTCAGTTTTTGTTTTTTATATAAATCATATCATTTTCAAGGCAATAAAACAGAAGAAAAGTCACAGAATACCGATTTCAAGAAGGTCTATTAGTTTTTATAGGAAATGGAAAGAGAAAGAACGCTTTTTAAACGAGTTAAAATTCTTTACTAATTTCGGTAACTATAAACGGATTAAGGTATTTTGTACCGTGTTAAAAAATTAAAGAAAATTTTTGAAGAATATTTCTTTTTTTTTAAATTAGTAAACTTTGACAAACATATACAATATTCTAAAAGATAAATCACATTTATGTGATTATACAAAACTTTTATTTATTTATTTTTCTAAAATAATATGAATTGTCCTCTAAAATATATATATAGTGGCTCGCAAAGTCTGCTTTTTATGTTACTTTTTTCAGAAAATGTTATTCCTGATAAAACTTGGTGTTTAATTAAACCTAAAACTTTATTTATTCAAAAAATTCTGTACCATAAATATAAATTTGGCTGCACAGTGAACTAGGTACTCTTCTAGGAACCGAACCCACATTTTTACATATAAGATTAATTTAAGAAGATGTATATAACTCCACATAGTAGTTTTTTAGTTAATACAAATAATATAGATTATTATATCCTTTTTAACCTACTTCAAAAAGGAAGAGGTTCTCAATTCGTCTGTATATATTTTTTTTATGTTCAGCGATAATTCTTTAATACAATGTCCGATTTAAATGATTCTTTTTTGCTGGAAAGGAGGTACTTCCGGGATGGTCCCATATAAATTTGGTCAAAATTTAATAATTGGGTCAATGGGAAAATCCTCAAACTTTTCATTTTTTATGTATGTTTAGCGATAATTCTTTACCACCTTGTCCGATTTCTATAATTCTTTTCGTTAGTAAGGGGGTACCTCAGGGATGGTCCCATATAAATTTGGTTCAGATGTGGTGATGGCATCTGCACGATTTTAAAGTCGGTTTTTTAAAATTACTTTCAATACATCTTACGTAAATTAAAAGTTTAATAATTTGGTGCTTTCTTGATGCGTCGTTTTATGATTTCACTTTGCATATGTTTAAGTACAAATAATTATTATTATTACTGGCAATTTATTTTAAATCATTAAAATAATATTTTGTTGATCGAAAAAAGGCAAACAAAAAAGCCATGTCACATTCAGTGTAATAATAAAAATTAGATATATTAATATAGTATATTATGTACCAACAGACTAAACTTTCACTTTCAATCTCGCCTTTTGTCGTAAAAGACTTTTAAATTTTTACCAGTGACGTCCGTGCCGGGTTTGAACTGAATATTTTTGAACAAAAATATGGTGCGCCACTGCTTTCTCTAAAAACCAAAATTATCTTTAAAATTCTTATTTATTTTGGAGCAAATTTGGTTTATGACGTACTTTCGTACGAAGCACCCTTTTCGGGTAAGAAAATACAAACCAGTATATTGAAACTGCTTTTGATATTTTGTTGAAATTTGGTAGGAACCCACCATGAGTAGAGACACTTTTTTTGGGCAAAATTTCATAGAAATATCTAGAGTGATAAGAAACATGATAAAATAGATATTTTTTTATCAAACAACAAAAAACGAGTAAATAACTACAGGTTGATCTCATTATTTAGATATTCTCTAATGTTATAGAAAATACGTTGTTATTAATAAGAAGAATATTTGTTACCTGCGAACTATTCACTACACAAATTTTGAAGATCTGAGATAACCTTCAGTTTGTGGGTAAGTATCTTTACTTTTTAAAAATACAACACCATTGCGACACCATACATTTTCTTTGGAAAATTTTGATATTGCAGCTTGTAAAACGGAAAGTATCGATGGTATAAGGTCTTCTTGTATGTAAATTTCTGTGGATTTGAGAAATTTCCTGTTCTTTAGGATTTTTTCTCGAAGCGAAAAATATAGTTTTATCAGCACAGCTACCGGTCTTGGATTTGCTAGATCAACTTTTTTGTTTGGAACTCGAAAACAGTTTTTAATACCTTTAGGTTGATATTTTTTACTTTCAATGTATTATTAATTAGATTTGTAATTACTTGTGTTATATTCTCGCCCTGGTTTTCCTGGACACCAAATAGTTTTTAAGCCTCTTTCCTGATTAAGATAATCTACTTCCATTTTTAGTAAATTATTTTCCATTTTTAATGATTCTAAATTTTATTAATACTTATCATCTATACTTTTACAAATCTTTTTGGCAATTTTTCAACACCAAAAATAATTTTTGCTTTTTGTATAAACATCGTCGCAATCTCTTCTAAATGTCGTCTTGTCAACCCCATTTTTGTTATAACACAACACTTCAAATAATAATAATTTAAATACTACACAAATGAATTTAATATTTCACTTGCATATAAAAAATTTTATGCAGAACGAAGTACAACTGGCTAAATTAAAATTTCTCTGTACATTGATAAGAAACTGGTTTTCAATAAGCAGAAGCGATCGACTTACTTGCAGGACATCTCAACGAACAATGGAATTAAAACTTAAAATCGTTTACTTGTGTTTGAAAGGTGACTTGCAAATAGTATATTACATAACAAGTATGAAAAGTGTAGCATTTCGCATGAGGTGAAGTTTAGCAAGAGTACGAAAAATACACAGAGTGCAAACTATTATTTTCATATGTGGTCGTAGGAAAAATTCATTTCGATATAGGTTATATGAAAATAGAGCGTCGCCTCCATGACAAAATGGCACAAACGCCGAAAAATTTAAAATTACGACTTTGGCACCACCGCATAAAGAATTTTTTTACCGCACGAAAACCCGATTAAAGCTTGTATACAAGCGCCATATAAACAGGTTTGTTGTTGATAATTTGGTACAAAAGCCAGTCGCCCATAATCAATACACAGAGTAAGATTGTTGTGTTTTCATGGCATAGATTGCATACTGTAAGGATAATCGTATAAAAGTAAGAGAAATTTGCTAAAAATCTGATAAAAAGATAGGCGCTTATGTCAATATATCACATACATTTTTACGTTTGGTACAAACGCCATTACCTATTTGTGTATAATGCACATATATTTTCTTTCCATTTTATTTATTATACAGTGAGCACCATAAGTCTTACCCCCCTATCTAACTCGTTACTGGAGTCTTGTTAGGAAAATCGCCGAGACAGGTCGATTTTTGATTTCTACAATGTACATTTTTATATGAATAGTTTACCCTTAATTTCATCCCTTACTGGAGGGGAGCAACCCTTTCGAAAAATTTAAATGGCATGGTGTGGTGAGTGATAGCTCATTTGAAGGAGGGTTTTATTCTCTATTCAACGGTGTAAAAAATTTGAAATTTGCTTCAATAATTCTCGACTAATTGTTGTTTCAGAATAACGGAAATTAACGTAGTGCACTCATCCTTAGAATTCAAATTCGGCCCTGCATGACTTCGGTTTTGGTTTAGACGTGAAGTAAGACTTTTTGCCATTAGAAGGTCACTGTTAGTCTAGTTGCTTTCCTATTTTGTGAGGTTTTGTTATTTTTAAACATTAATAAATCAACATGAAATGATGCAAATTTCAAAATTTTTTTGCACGGTTGAATAGAGAATAAAACCCCCTTTCAAATGAGCTATCACTCACCACCCCATGCCATTTAAATTTTTCTAAAGGGTTTTTACCCTCCAGTAAGGGATGAAATTAAGGATTAACTAATCATGCAAAAATGTACATTGTAGAAATTAAAAATTGACCTGTCTTGGCGATTTTCCTAACAAGACCCCAGTAACGAGTTAATTAGGGGGGGTAAGACTTAAGATGCTCACTGTATGTGACAGTTTACAGCATTTTTATAATTTTATTGAGAATTGCTAGTGCAAAGGTTTTAGAATAATAAATCTTCAAAATTTTATTAGAAAAATCGCCAAAAAAGCTTTTGAAAGTTGGCGTTTATAACATTAATTTTCTTTTTATTTTCTATTATAGAGTCACCAAAATTTGATGAAATTTTTATACATTTTGGCGCATTTCATTTATTAATGACATACTTTGCAGCTCTAGGAAAAATCATGTTCAAATCTGGATGTGCTCATATTTTGTGTGAAAGTGGAGTACTAGCAGATAATTCGGTTAAAAGATTTATGTCTGGAAGACATTTTAAGAGATATTAAAGATTACATCCTCTCCTTGCTCTAGCTTTACAACTTTAGCATATAAAATTTTTCTTCAGTTTAAATATACACTTGCCTCCCGGATTCTTACTTTACTTATTCAAAAAACGAATGATCATCAGAATTTATAGCATTTTTAGCTAATCACGAGTTATTCTGCAATGCCTCGCGTACAGGAGAATATGGGTCAACTCAGTTTTGGTTTATGTATATCGATTATGTACATCTATACTTAAAATGTCAAGACCCGTAAGGATAAATAATTTAGATCTTTTCATATTTTGTTGGCCATTGATGACAAATCTTTTCTTCGTAACTAATTATCTAAATTATGCAAAATGGATGGTCCGTTATCACGAAAACCTAAGTGATATCGATTGCAGATATCCTGGCTTGAAACAGCTTCTTGAGAAAGGAGGTTTATCAAACATTTCTTTTGCTGGTGCACCAATTGACCAAACTCTTGAGCATACCGTTAACAGAGATTCGGCGAGTAGACTTACAGGAATATCGGCAATGACGAACCAAGCTTCAGCGCACGTTCGATGGAGACTAACCCGAAGTGTGAGATCAGAGCTAGTTATTGCCCTAAAAGAAATGGCAGGGTTAAACTCAAAAGACGATATTTCCAAAGAACTGAAAAGTCTAGAATTATTTATGATAATGCTGATCTACAAAGTATTTGTAATATATTAGAAGAATCGACAAACCCATTCAGCATTTCATTTGAGAAGTAGACACTTTATAATATTGGGACTGGTAAAGCTACATATATGAACACAAAGGAATATCTGCTCAATGCAATGAACAAAGGAGATACATTAAGAACTGCCTTCATTGAAGAATGTAAAAAAGAAAATGAAAGGTTTAACCAGAAAATACACAAACAGAAAATAAATAATTTTGAAGCTGAGGGCGTTAAAATTAAGATAAGTACTTAAGACAATAAAGTTAAAGAACTTGGGCTCACTTGTGGAATATTTGGTCGAATGTGTTGTTTGGCTGTAGAAAAGAAATTACATTTAGAAGATGTTCTAAAATATTCATACTTTTGCCTCTTTCTTTAATTCACATAGATGGAGAAGATTCCTTCCATAATAGACATGGAGAGATCCAAAAGAAGAACAACAGAAAATGATTTGCCAGATTTCTTTATACAAGGGTCACATCAAAAGAGCCCTCGTGACTTTCATAAAGCCCTAAGAAATATTAATTTTAAAAGGTCATTTTCAGAATTCCTGGCTAGAGACTGGCAGCATGATACTCATAAGGATATTTTAAAAAATTAAATAATGTATATTACATATGAAACCAAATGTTACGTAATCAAAACTGGATTTTCAGAAGAAGTAAACGAGTTAACCTGTGAACATGAGAAGGCTGATTCAGAACTTTTTTTCATTGTGAAAACATTCAAGACTGACTAATCTCCCACAAAATCAGAGGATAATTTTCACAAAAACATTGTCATAAGAATGTTTTAGTAATATTTCTATGTAACATTACGAAATTCTCGTTATACCATCGAGTTTGGCTTTATTTTGGAGTAGGAAAAAACAGGAGATCTGTTATTGTCTCAGAATTATCAAGAAAATTGGGACCACAACACTGTGTAAGTCTCTGACAGGCTTTTATGCTTTTACTGGGAGCGACTATACTGCTGCTTTTGCCAGAAAGGGGAAAATTCGTCCCAAGAAGCATTCTCTTCTTTTGGATCTTGTGAAATATTTACAGAATTATTGAATATTTAGGAAGAATTTACTTGTGAAATGTATGGTCAAACCAATTGTGGCGCAAAGTAAATTTAGCGAGACTGAAATTATTTTTAAGATGGTACAAGCCTAAAAATATTTCCAAGCCATTTTCCAATATTAAAAATATAGATCCTGCATTGTTACCACCATGTAAGTGCGTATTACTAAATAAAATTCTTCGATGTAACTTTATTTGTACGCTCTGGAATAACGCAAGCGATTCAGACCCGCTTAAGACAATAGACACAGAAAATAATGGCTGGACACTAACTGAAGAAGGTTTTGAGGACCTTCAAGATACTCTTCTGGAAGATTGATGACGAAAAAAAAGAACAAAATTCCTAAATTCAGATGATTCTGAAAACAAATCAGAAGAAGACTGCTTATAATGAAAATGATTTATTTTTTATTTTTGTTTGGTTATTTTCGTTTCTTATGTTGTTATTATTATGTACTGCATATTTAACTTAATTTTGTATTAAATAAGTAGTCAAATCCCATCCCAATTTAGCTTATTGTTTAAATTTACCAAAGGGGTTTTATTATAGATATTAAGTTTCTATAAAATAAAAATAGTCGTTTTTTGCTGTAAATATTAAGTTTGTCTTGTGGACAAAGAGATACAAAATATTATACCTCACATCACTTTTTAGTCCCCGTAACCATCTGTCCACACAAAATCTGTTTAGTTATGTTTTTATACTGTATGTCTTACAATACTTCTACTCCAAAAATACTCTTAAAGGCCCCCAAATATTTTTCTTACTAATAGTTTCCGAAGAACTCATTTACTAACGAACAATCTGGCAAAAAAACGCATTTGTATACCTTCTGATGTACATTTTTGTCTGTTATTAAAATTTCAAGTCTGTTTTAAGGACGAAAATGCCCTAAATATGTTGTCTTACAATACTGTTCTAGATCAGAGATTCAGTTCCACACAAAATCACATTCGTTTTACTCTTATACCTTATGACGTAAATATTGGCCCTTTTTCCAAAAATGCTTGTCTTAAAGCAACTAAGCCCCCAAATATTTTGTCTTACGAATAGTTTCCGAGTGTTATATTTAGTAAAAAACAATCAGGCAAAAAAATCGTTTTTATACCTTTTGACGTAAATTTATGTCCTTTCTTGAAATTTCAAATCTGTCTTAAGGACAGACGCCCCGATTATTTTGTCTTACGATGCGGTAATAGATTAGAGATTCAATTCCACATAAAATCACATTCGTTTTATTCTCGTACCTTATGATATTGGCACTTTTTTCAAAAACCCTTGTCTTGAAGCAACTAAGCCCCCAATTATTTTGTCTTACAAATAGTTTCCGAGTAGTGCATTTAGTAAATAACAATCCCGCAAAAAAATCGTTTTTATACCTTATGACGTAAATTTCTGTCTTTTTTTTTGAAATTTCAAATCTGTCTTATGGACAGAAAGCTCCAAAATATTTTGTTTTGGAATAGGTGGCCCTTTCCGTACAAAATTTGATTGTTTTTATTGTTATACTTTGTGACGTAAATTGTGCTCTTTTTTTAAAAATTTAAGTTTCTAGTGGTAAGACAAAACAAAATCAAACTTTATTTTCAATCCACATTAAATCTGACGGTTCAAAATTTTATACCTCATGACGTAAGTTTTGAGGCACTAGCTCCTGGTCCATACTGCTTGGACTGATATCACCGAAATTATTGACAAGTTTGCTTCTCAGAAAGTCAAAAAAGTTATTTTATAGTTAATTATTAGTTAGCCTTTGTAGAAGGACTGATTTATATACTTTTCGTTTCACGAGAATTATGCTTTATTATGTTATATTATATTTTCTAAGTAAATACTGTTGTTTTGCATTCCTAATTATAAAATGTATATTTTTATATCAAAGGCGAGATCAAAGGTATTATTTTTGTTTATTACTGTTTTGAAGTATTTTGTCGCTATTAGGTGGCCAAAATATAAAGTTTTATTAATGTTTTACTTTTTACTTTTATACCAGTATATGAGTTTATAACGTCAACGGTAAGTATTAGCAGAGACAATCCAGCGAGACGTGTAACTCAATGTATTTTTTTTTGTTCGGTAAAAGTTATTTGGGCGATTGTAACCACAACCAGTCTATGATGGCGCCACTAGTAAATAGCGGGAAAATTAAAAATGCTTTAGGGCGGGGAATTCAAACATGGATTCAGAAATAAATAGTTTTCCTATACAAATTTACAGGAGAAAAAAAACTATTGTTTCACTGTATATTAAAAAATATAAAAGCTTCCAATAACATCAAATTTTTTATCATATAAATAATCATTTTAATAAAGGAAATTTTAATCAGTTTAATATAAGCAATGAACATAGTTTTTATTACTCTTGTAAATTTCGCTAAAAAAAAACTTGAAAAATTCTATTGATTATTAAATATTTAAACTTGGAAAAATAATACACCAAACTCTTTTTCTATAAATTATATTTTTGTAAGGTACAGAAAAACAAACTACAATTACTTCGTTTAGAAAGTACCTCGTATCATTTTGTGACAAATTGCAAAGAAAGTAACAGTTGTTATATATTCATAATATATTTAAAAACTAATGTAACAAATATTTTATAAAGTATAGAGTATATCGATACCTTTTTGCCAGACTATCATAAGTGCCATTTGAACAAATGTCGCAAAAAGGTATCGATATGTTATGACTGTTTATTTTAATAGGAACCATTCTAAAAGGGAATGAAGGATCACATACTATCATCATTTAAACAGGACGTTGCTGAAAGTCTTACCCCTGTTATTTCGTTTGTTTGTGTATCTTGTGCGTGTGCATTCCTGTTGTGTCCCCAGTCATGTAAAAGTTTTTCTAGTCTCCTGATTTGGTTACTAGGTGGACCTTCTCCAACTAGTAGTCTAATCTATTCGATCTGTTCTGCAGCAGGAGGTACTTTTCAAACATAGCAAATAATATTATTAATAATAAACACTATTTACAGATGAATACATTTTTGTAATTTTTTTGTCATTGCCCCTTACCTGACTCTTACACCACCAGGGTATACCTATTTTCCATATTCCCTTACTTACAATGTTTGAATGAATATAACATTTTACCCATGAAAAATCTAATTTCGTATTTAACTTTTTTTCAATTTCATTTGAAACAATTGGCATATTACAATTTATTATCAAGGAAATCTTCTAATAAAGTTATAGCAAATCCTACTTAAACTACTGGTTGTTCTGCAGGATAAATTAACTTTTCTTGAGATTGATCTCTCTCTAAAATCCAAAACCGACCTGATGTCCCCAAATTTAAGATTCAATTTTTTTTCTTCCTTTAGAGTAGCTATTAGAGGTAGGTGTATGTAAGAAATAGCCAATCTCTAATCATTTCAAAAGTCCTTTGCCAATACTACATATGCAGATTTTTACTCGGCATACAGTTTACTTTTCTAGTAGGTAGGAACTTTGTGCTGCCATTAAAGCTGTCCAGACATTCATCTACCTACTTAATGAACAAAAGTAGCTGTAACAATGGATCTATGTTCCAATTAACCTAAAATAATTATAGCCATTTTGTAATATATTATTAAACACACACATTATACAGTGGTTTTCTTAATAAATTGGAAATTACCTCTAGAAAGAAATGTGTACAAAAACGCGAGTTTGGTTCCAGAAATTGCTTCATGCAAAAAATAATATGCAAAAATAAACATTACCTCCCAAAGAAAATTAATTAAACAACAAAATCAGACTCAAAGAAATAAACGGGGCTCAAATTAAATTAATTTTAATAAAATGCACACGTTCATAACAACATTCATAACATTGTCAGTTGTCAGTTTTAATCGATATGTCGACGTCAAAATACCAGCAACATCAGCGACCTCTTAGATTGGTGTTAATTTTGTTGGAGGGAGATAAATATATGTAAAGATCAATGTGAAAGAGAAAGAAAGTCATATATGTAATTTAAATGGACCACCGAACAATTTTTCCTATTAAGTTACACGTCTCTGTTGTCTCTGGTATTAGTCAATACCTACAATTCTACTGTTAACGTAAGCTGTAACACTTTAGATCTTGTTTTAAATAATAATTTTTTAATAAAAAATATAAAGTCGTCTACTTTACCACTGGTTGCTAAGGATCCATCACATAATACTCTAGAATTTGATATTAAATATTCTAATGTAACGAAAACGAAAGTAAATAATCATTATGAAAAAACTTTAATTTAGCAAACTACACTGAAATAAATCATCTTCTATCTTCAATTGACTGGAATAAACAATTCCAATTTCTTACAATCAATGAATCAGTAACAGTATTTTATGAAATTGTTAATAATATTTTGGACTTTTATGTTCCCAAGAATCCCAAGTGGATATTGTAAAGCATATCCTTTTTGGTTTTCTTTGTCAACCATTAAAGCTATTAAAGAAAAGATAAAATTTCATCGTCGCTGGAAAAAATATAATAATGACATGGACTATTAGACATTCAAAATTTTTCGTGGTAGATCAAAATATTTGATAAACAAGGATTACAAAGAATAATAAATCGGGTTGAATCTAATATTACTGAAAATCCTAAGTATTTTTTTCAATATGTTAAAATAGACAATTTGCCTGATCTGGTCCAGACGAGACTCCTACATGCTATATTAAAAAGTGTAAAAATTCTCTGTTTGACCCTTTATATTTCTTATTTAATAATTCTTTAACCGAAGGACAGTTTCCTGATAAATGGAAAACGGCTTTGGTTGTGCCAATCCACAAATCAGCAAATAAAAACAAGGTGAATAATTTTAGACCTATATTAAAACTTAACTTATTAAGTAAACTATTTGAAAGTTTAATTTTAGATTTTCTATTCTGTGATGTCAAGAATATTCATAACATTGAACAACATGGTTTTATTAAAAAACGATCGGTTGAAACTAATTTATTTGTTTATGTTGAATACATATTGAAAAGTTTAAATGACGGAATGTTGGTAGATTCTGTGTATACCGACTTCAGTAAGGCTTTTGATAAAATTGACCATTCTATCCTATTTTGACTTTTATGTAAGAAATAGGTTCCAACAGGTAGCATTGAGTAAATACAAATCTATATTTATCATTCTACATCAGGAGTACCTCAAGGATCTCATCTTGGGCCGTTACTCTTTAACCTTTATGTCAATAATATATGTAACTGCTTTAAATACGCGAAATTTATCATGTACGCTGACGATCTAAAAATTTATCATTTTATAACTTGCTTACTGATAGGATTTTATTTCAGCAAGATCTAGATAGATTTTGCGATTATTGTAGAAAACATAATTTGTTTTCGAATGCATCTAAGGGTAGTTCTGTTATATACAGTTTACTCGAAGTAACACTTATATAACAGTGGATAAAGTTAAGGACTTGGGTATATTTCTCGACAAATTATTGTTTGATGAGCATGTACATATATTTTACCTATCACAAGTAAAGCAACTAAAGAATTAGGCTTTATTTTAAGAACAAGTTGCGAATTTAAAAATCATCATACAATCAGAGCCTTATATATGGCTTACGTTAATAGTGTACTCATGTTTAGATCAATAATTTGGAATCCTTTTTACTTAGTATAATAGATAAGTTACAATCTGTTCAGAATAAATTTATTTCTTATTGACATAAATAGTAGTTTGGTGGATATGATGACCATATCGCACGAACACGAAATTTGAGCACGACGCCGTAGGCGGAGTGCTCAATCGTCTTAATGCGATGTGAACAATCCACTCGAGTTGTACAGTATATTTTTTTACGCCCCACTAACAAAAATTTACAAATAAAAAAAATATTTTAGGTTATTAAGACAAAATAACTAATTTTAAAATAATTTATGACTTTTAATAATTTTTAAAATAAAATAAACGAAAAAAGAACTTTTTTTTCCCCATCTGAGAATCGAACTCGAGTCTTCTCGTGTGGAAGGTAAGAAGATTACCACAGGACTACCTATTCTTTTATTTTTGTTGCTTTAATACTCGTAATTAAATTTTATTTAAATTATCCGAAATAAAAACAGAAATGCTATTATTTATCGATTCTACACAAGAATAACTCATTTTAATGTATGTTAATCTCAATAACTAAAAAATATACTGACAATTAGTTTGACAGAGTTGTCACTTATTTAAAATTTTAAAAATAATAGCAGTCGGTTGATCAAAATATGAACGGTGATTGGTGGATTTCATTTTTTTGCAGTGTTTTCACTACCTAGAATGGATATGAAATATATTCGTTCGGTTGAAGGAAATAGCGTACTTTTTCGTTTTGTAATCTGTGCGTAGATAAGCTAATATCCATGTGGGTGTAGAAAAAAAATATTATCCTCAAATAAGAGGAAACAAAATTTTATCAAATTTAAATTTAATCAATCTAGAATCACGAAGACAAATTTCTGATATGTTTATGCACAGAATATTTAATCGTCAAATAGACTGCATTGCAAGGGTGGCTCCCCCGCCCCCGAGGTGAAAATTCTTACGATGTATGGGCCTTTTATTCAAAAAAATATGCCAAAAAGGGAATGGCTAAAGAAAATGCCCCCCCTCCCCCCAAATTCGTCTTGGAGCCGCCCTTGCTGCATTGATATAGTTAATCTCCTTCAATTTAATTGTCCCAATAATTATAATACTAGAAATATTAATACATTTTTTCTTAACAAGGCAGCAACCAAACTACCTACTATTTAAATGTTTCTCTCCGTAGAATATCAAAAACTTGTAATCAGTTGTCAAATATAGTTAACGTAGATATTTTCTTTGAATTTTATGTTCGTAAAGAAAGCACTGTTAAAATATTTTCTAAATCAGAATATGTAATCTTTCTTGTTGATAGTTTTTAGTTTTTATTTTTGAATAGGTATTATTGTAAATGATATGATTATTGTATAACTTTGTACTATAGGTATAATCTGGTGGACACTTTTTTAGGCTAGTCCTGTCTATGTTCCGAATAAAAAAAAATATGAAAAATTCTCTACAGGGGCGGCCCATTAGGTATTTACACGTGGGCGACCGACACCCTAGAATCGGTCCTGGATGCGACAACTAAGGATGAAAAAAAAAACAAAAAAGGCAATCCTCTCACAAATTTTTGCATTGTGTTACGAAGTTCAAGGGTCTGTTCGAGGGTCTGTTGCCTTGACTATAATATTAATACGCTTATTTAATTCACCTAGCTAATTTGAATAAGTGTGGCTAACGGAGAAGTAGGTATATCTTAAACTAGAATACTTTTAATATCATAAATATGTAATGTTTTATTCCTTTCTAAAGTTTTTATAAAAAAACGTTTTAAAGATTTGAATTTTATTCATGTTTATTTTCTTCGCACAGTTTGTCCATTTTACGATGTTTTTATTAATTTTTAACAGACTTAGTGTAATTTTTCAATTTTCATTCAACTTTTTCATTATTTCATAAAACACAATTAGGTACTTTTCTTCCGATATAATTTCTTTATAGTAATATTATTAGATAAACGTGATATAAGGTGTTTTACATTTCAAATGTTTTATATTTCAAATTTGAAAAATATTTTAATCAGAGGCGTCTCTTATCATTTTAACAAAGAGGTTAACGAAATAATTTTGAATATGTACGTACCTGTAATAAATGGGGCATATCGAAAATTATTAACGAGTAATCCTTGATTAAATTCTGTCCTCTGATTAAATGTAGATTAGGAAACAGTTGACCGATAGAAGTCAAGTGGTTAACTTTAAAAAACAACAGGTAACCCGAAACGGCTAATAAGTCAGGAAAAACATAATCATTGAATTCACTTTCAGATTGAGTATTTTCCAGTAACAAGATCATCAAATCACCGGCAATTTGCGAACAGTTTTCTAATTTTTTGAAGTTCATAACGCTATTAATAATCTTTGTAGTCGGACAAATTTTACACTGCACGTATAAGGTTAACAACATAAATAATATAATCCGAGACATCATAATCGTAGTATAAAAATATTTGGTTCTAACATACTTCTATAAGCACGTTCGGCGGAAAACTAGCATGTGTGTAGCGTGGCGTGAGTGTCGATTTGTCGGTTTTTGTTGTCGCCAGCGAAAACACAGACTCGTGGTGCGCGCTAACGCAATAAGCAAATTTGAATCGTCTCGCGCATTTAGATAGAGAAAGTAAATTATGTCACGACTATGTAATTCATACATAAGATACAAATTTAAAATACAGTTAGGTATTCCTATTTTTATAATTTAACCACTCATTTGTTTACAATAATAATTATAAAAAAATTAATTATTCATGATTTTTTATTTATTTTGGCAGTGGCGGATTTAGGATTCATTCTAGGAGGGGGAGGCTACAACGGGTGGCACAAAATGATCGAAAAAATTGATCGAAAATATAGGTATTTTATCGAATAAATTTTGATCGATAATATAGGTATGTAATTTATCGAAGACAATGGATCGAAAATTCATTGAATTGAAAGAACAAGATATCGAAAATCAACCACTCTGACACGAAATTGCGGCGAATAGTGTTAGAACTAGCGCTCATTAAAATAGCGTCAGTCATAACAGCGCCAAAGCAGAACAACGTCTGGCTATCGCAATTCTTTTTACCAAAAAATTATAAGTTAACTAAGTTACCTAACCTATACGACCCGAAGCCATCATGGGTTGCTTCGCAAAAAAAAATACTTAAAATGAAGTGGAATTTATCTAATCTGTGTGTTCAGATTCCCTGAACAAAGTAACAATCATTTTCCCACTCATTTCAAATTCGTATTTTTATTTATAAAAACACTACTCATGGTGACATCTACCCAGCAAAGAAGAGGGTGCATGTGGTCAAATTATCGATTCTACAATTTCAGAACCTTTTATTTGTCCATTTATTAAGAATTAATGTAACTTTAGTACCATCTGGGCAGATGGCTCTTGAGATTTACCCTCCCGCGCTTTGGGTACGACGGACGATGGGGTTCAGGGTGTCGGCCATTCCGTTTTAACTCAGCATCTCAAAAACACGCTTCTTCTCGCAAATTAAATATTAACTTTATTTTTAATATATAATACATGTTTACCAGTGCAACGGTAATGATTGTTTTATAACCCGGTGATCGTTAATAATTTTTGTAACTTAAAATGCATGTGTAACTAAGTTTGGATTTATAAAACTATTACTGTATATAATAAACGCATGTAAATAATTAAACAGTGCCGTCCTATTTTATTATGTTCTTCAAGTTGTGACTCCTCGATCGACATTTAATTGGATCTGCGAATTCTATGGAGAAGCACTCCATTATTTAGTTAAATCATTTTGAAAGGTTGACTCCCTCTGTAAGAGCGTCACGTAGCCAGTGGCGTCCCTACACTGTGTGGCCTGGAGCCATTTAAATTTAACCGATCGCTCACGCATAGGTTAGGTAAAGTATTTTTTTAATTTTTCTCTTCGTGGTGTTGCTGTGTCTTTGTTTTGTATCGTTAACGTTAGTTGAGTATTCGGAATGGCCTTAGGGTATCTGACGTAAATGGTGTCGAAATTTGAAAATTTATTTTTGGGAATTGTGATTAGGAGTTATGGATTGTTACATTGGAATTTTTAGAAATGTCAGGGGGATAAAAATTTAAAAATAATAGAGGAATATTGTTAAAAATAAGTTAAGAAATTTGTAGAGAAGTTAAATAAAGTTAAGAAGTACAATAAGGTAAAAATTTTATTTGAATTAGAAATAAGGAAGGAGATTTAATCGGAGAGAAGTAAGATTAATAGGAGTTAAGCCTTGGTTTCTTTGAACACTCCGATGCGGTGAGCGGACTGTCCGTCGACCGTCGCGTTTTGACGATTTTATCTAACCAGAGTATTTAAATGGGAACGGTTTTCTCCACATCCCCAACTAGCCATTCATAAAAGTGTATTTGTTGTGAAGTTCTCTTCATCATCTATTGTATAGTCCAGGAGACAGTGACGATTTTCAGTATTTATTTTCCCAGTCAGCAAGCACGAATAGAGAATTGTAGGATTAGCAATTCTAAGCAAAATTCATATATATTTAGAGGGGGGATCCGATGGGCTGAGGCCGAAAATGCGTTAAAACATACGAGAACACGGCCCTTTTTTTCCATTGATAAAAATAGTTTTAGTAGTAAGAGATGTACTGAAGTTAAGTAAAAAATAGTCTGATTAATCTGTATGGATAATATATTTGGCAAGTGCATAAAATACACTTTCAAACGAGTTATGTACACAATTATTTCTACGACCACAATTATTTAAAGAATGTTCCAGGTGTTTTGTATATTAAAGTGTACGCATAGGACACATAAATAAAATCTTATATCACAATGTTTCACCTAACCAGTTGGTTTATTTATAGAAATTAAACATAATAATTGAAGATATTACAGAAGAAAATAGGGAAATAAATTACATTTCCTTTTACACTTTTATATAATAATTGTTTTATTTAGAATTCACGAATCACTTATTACTCTACATTAATTATAATTATTGTTAGTTTCGTTATGTCAAATCATTTATACTAGAGGTGTGAGGAAAATACAGTGAACTGTGGAACGCCAATATCGTTGTATGCGCGTGGTAGAAATGGTCCTATAATACTGCTAAAAACATAGCTAAATTTTCATGGAAACAATGTACTTTTGACATTTGCGATACTCCGACGCATATGCATTATTGATGTAATCTCATGATTTTACAGTAATAGTTTTTGCAATTTTAGTGTGATTTTTAGGTTATTATGGTTATTCATTTTATTTGGTTCTGATCTTTTGCGCTTTTAGAGTATTTGTCTTTTATATAGTTTTTAATTTGAATTTTAATATTTTGGTCTATTTATATTTGATTGCTGCTTTTCGACTAGTGCTTTATTCTTTTTGTGTTAAAATAAGCTATCTACCTAATCGTCATTGGGTGCTTGCAACAATGGGAAAAAGTGTATGGTTTTTTTGGTGTAAAGTTAGACGCCTTCGTTTTTCAGGTAAGTTATTTGTAGTTATTTTTTACTTAAAAGGATAGCAATACGTCCTGGTTCGGGGTGTGACTTTTGGGTTTTAGCTGTCTGAGCCAAATTGTCGGCTAAGTGTCCTCTTTTAGGGCACCCAGAACCGAAAACTATATAGGTATATAATATGTTTTTTTTTTAAATTATTTTTTAATATGTGTGCAGCTTGGATGAAGGCTTTAGGAAGAGATCCTAAGACTGAACACTGACTGCTATAAATGCCGTTTTTAGAGCACATTTCATAGTAAGTGATTTCATTCTAGCAGCAATGAGGAAACGTTTAAAAAACATGCTGTACCAGCTATTACTTTAAGACCTCGTCTCTTTAAGTTATTATTACTTCATTCTAATGCATATATTAAAATGGTTTTTAACTTATGTCCTTATGATTAAAAGATGTAGGTATTTTAGTTATGTTATAATAGAAATATATGATACTTTGTATTGACTGACCTACTGGCCACTGGTCATTCCACTTTTACTCTCTTTTTTCATAAATTATCAAATTATTTAAAAACAAATACATACCTAGCTATTTTCTGTAAATTACATTAAAATTTTAGTATTAATATTTTACTAATAAAACTTCAGTTAATTTATCTTATATATATATATATATATATATATATATATATATATATACACAACGGAAGAGTTAATTGGATTTTCTCCTTGTTGAGTTTCAAAAATAGTAATTTAACATGATTTAAAAACAAATACATGAAATGGGCAAAATAGGCCTGCAAAGGCACTTTGTAAACAATATCACTTGTATCGATGTGACGTAATGCGCGAATTCAATCTGGCTTACTTTTGTTAATAGATTGGCGTTCCATTTTAAATATACAGTTCACCGGGAATAGATTATTTAAATATACACGGACCGGGAAAACAAGTACGAAAAAATTCACTGGCTCCTGGACTAGTACTGTATCGAAGGAATTTTTATGAATGAAACAATATAGGACCCTCCACAATTGCGGTCTACTCTACTTCCGCTGTTGTCAGACATTATTTTTTTTTTGACAATTTAAAGACCTAACAGTAATTCAAGCAAACGCAATAACATTACTACAGTTAAAAACATCGCAAACTTGGCATCAATATTTTAATTTTATCCAAATATTGCATTTCTGTCGAGGATCATCCGCGTTGAATTCAGAAATTGTGTAATCTGTATTGGTTATATATATATATATATATATATATATATATATATATATATATATATATATATATATATATATATATATATATATATAGTTAAAAGCACGTAAACTTGGCATCAATGTTCAATCTGATTATTGAGTTTCTACCGCGGACACCACCGTTCATTCTTCAAAATTTTTGTAAATAATTCTATCTGTCTTGGTTATATATCTATGGTTTTCTCGAATCCGCTTAGCTGAGCAGGACGGCGTCATGCCGCTGATTTGTCGCGACTAGTCGGTTCATATCTGTTAAGTTTGATATCGGCGGAATCGTCGGAGTGTGCGGAGACAGTGTGTGAATACAAATAATTATATTGTTATTACTTTTAAAACAATTAGTGACAAATTCACACATTCAGACCATGAAATCTTAATAGATTTGGTTCGACAACATCCTCCTTTATACAGTGTGACAGGAAATGTCGTCCTTTACAAAACTCAACAGTACAGTGATATTAAAGGCACCTTCTGTATCGCGACACAAAAACAAACTTATCCACTGGCTTAATTGAAACTTTGACTGTTGCAATTGCCAGTTCCTCTTCTTCTTCCTCCTCTTCCAACAAAAATAGCAACGAACCAATTTATTTGAGTCCATTTTAGTACCTTTCGTTTCTACTCATAATACATAAACAGCACATACAGACATAAAAAAAGTCTCATTTTCTATATTTAAACAAACCACCTTGGGCGAAAATCGCTGTCCTCAGCGGTCGACGGAGTATCTGCTCATCGCGACGGA